TGGTTTTTGGAATGCAGTTGTGGGAGGGGGAGGGGAGATTTTGAAGCTTGTGAAGTCCGCATTGATACCATTGGGCTGCAGGATTCCCAAGCGGAATATGAGGCACTTCTGCTTTCCGGAGGGACCACTCTCTCCGTGACTCCCTTGTCCGCTCCAAACTCCCCTCCAGCCCCACCACACCTGGCACTTTTCCCTGCAACCGCAGGAAGTGCTACATCTGCCCCTACACCTCCCGCATCACCCCTATCCCAGGCCCCAAGAAGACCTTCCACATCAAGCAGATGTCCACCTGCACATCTGCTAATGTGGTATACTGTATCCGCTGTTCCCGATGTGGCCTCCTCTACATCGGGGAAACCAAACGGAGGCTTAGGGACCGCTTTGCGGAACACCTATGCTCGGTTTGCACTAATCAACTGCACCTCCCAGTTGCGAACCATTTCAACTCCTCCTCCCATTCCTCAGACGACATGTCCATCCTGGGCCTCCTGCAGTGCCACAACGATGCCACCCGAAGGTTGCAGGAACAGCACCTTGTATTCCGCTTGGAGCCCAATGGTATCAATGCGGACTTCACAAGCTTCAAAATCTCCCCTCCCCCTCCCCCAACCGCATCCCAAAACCAGCCCAGCTTGTCCCTGCCTCCCTAACCTGTCCTTCCTCCCACCTATCCCCTCCTCCCACCTCAAGCCCCACCCCCATCTCCTACCTACTAGCCTCATCCCGCCCCCTTGACCTGTCTGTCCTCCCTGGACTGACCTATCCCCTCCCTAACTTCCCACCTACACTCACCTTTACTGGCTCCATACCCGCCTCTTTGACCCGTCAGTCTCCTCTCCACCTATCCTCTCCTCTATCCATCTTCTATCCGCCTCCCCCTCTCTCCCTATTTATTTCAGAACCCCCTTCCCCTCCCCCATTTCTGAAGGAGGGTCTCGGCCCGAAACGTCAGCTTTCCTGCTCCTCTGATGCTGCTTGGCCTGCTGTGTTCATCCAGCTCTGCACCTTGTTATCTCTATAAACAGGGACCAGTTTAATTGTCTTCCCAGCTTTTCCTTTTGCTCATAACAACCTCGTATTTTGTGTGCCTTTTTATCTGTACAGAGGCAGAGTTTTATAAGTGGGTTAGAGTTTTAACTAGTAGAATTATATGGGGAGGCAACAGCGTACTGGCATTATTGCTAGACTATTAATCCAGAAACTCAGCTAATTTTTGGGGACCTGGGTTCAAATCCCATGGTAGATGGTGGAATTTGAATTCAATAAAGAACCTGGAATTAAGTGTCTAATGAGGATCGTGAAACTGTTGTCGATTGTTGGAAAAACCCATCTAGTTCACTCATGTCCTTCAGGGAAGGAAATCTGCCTTTCTTACCCTGGTCTGGCCTACACGTGACTCCAGACCCGCAGCAACGTGGTTGACTGTTAACTGCCCTCTAGGCCATTAGGGATAAGCAGATGGATAAGTAGCCGGAGATGTCCATGTCCCATCAGTGAATTAAAAAAAAGTTGATGGTTTATAATTGTTTAATGTTTACTAGATTAATTATTTGTTATAAACAATTTTTGTATAAACAGACACCTGGCCCATTCTTTCCATCATTCTAGGTCTAAAAGATAAAAAGAAATTGGAGAGTTCTGCATGCTTTTTATTTTACAATTTTTAACTTGTGTGATAGCCCTGTGATTAGTGAACTTTATTTCTACATTGACGCATAACACTATTCCTTCAAAGTTTCTTCTTCAAAATGCTGGAGCACCCTAACGGCATTGAGTCTACCTATACAGAATAGACCGCAGTAGTGCAAGAAGGCAGTTCACCACCACTTCTCAAGGGCAACTAGGGATGGGCCAATAAATGCCAGCTCAGCCAGTGCTTCTCACAAGCCGTGAAAGAATTTAGAAAAAAAATGTACAAAATGCCATCAACCTAAACGCAACTTTGATGGACTGTGCCTTTTTCACCTCTGGATTTGACTGATCTTGGATAGCCTCTCTCATTCTGCGTTAAGCTCTGGAGGTGTAAGGCCAAAGTGTAATTCTGTCAAAGACATGACCCTCAACAAATGTCATTCACAAGTCACTGTTTGCTTCCTGACCTACAGATATCCCTGCTTAATTGACGTCTGAATCTTAAAATTCTCTTGCTTGGTTTCAGGCTTCTCCATGCTTTGCTCCTTTTAATCTCAGTAAATGTATCCAGCTTCACAACCCTCCAAATTGCCTCTTCTCTAGTTTTGCCTTCTTGCATATATTCATTTTTTTATCAGTCTGCATGGGTTTCCTTGTTATTTGTTCCCTAGGCCCTGGACTATGGAATTCCCTCACCAGATCTTTCCATCCCTCTTCCTGTCTTTCATCTTTAAAAATACTCTTGGCTCTTTGACCGAGCTGTTTATCACTTGTTGTGACGGTCCCCTTTTAGTTCAATGTCAAGTTTTGTCGGATAAAACATGGTGAGGTGCCAGGGACATTTTACAATTTAAAGGTTCCATATACGTATACAAGTTTTTCTTGTTAAAAGCATAGAGGATAATCATAGTTGAAGTGTTGGTAACTTTGGCCTAGTTTCAAACAAGCTTTCTTAACAAAAACTTTCTGGAATGTGATGATTCACTCAGTAGAATTTCAAACTCTCTGCTTTAGTCTAATGGCATCAGGTGTTTGTTTCCTAATTCCCAACAGTAACTTCAACTGCACCAGTTTTGAACTGACTGTATCCTGTTGGAGGTATCTTCTTTTCCACTATTATTTTCCAAATATGGATTAATTTACTTTTGGTATATGTGATATGCTTGAAAATACACAATTTAAATGCTACTTTTTCTCTCCTGTTTTTAGCATTTAGCAGAAGTGAAGTTGCAAGAGAGAAAGAAATGCACACGCATCTTATTGTTCGTGGATTTTTAAAATTCACTTCAGATGTGGGCATCATTGGTTGGCCAGCATTTATCGCCTGTCCCTAGTTTCCCTTGAGAAAGTGGTAGTGACCTGCTGCCTTGAACTCCTGCAATTTTTTGTAGACCCAGAGGCATTTAGGGAGGGAGTTCCTGGATTTTGACCCAGCGACACTGATATATTTCCAAGTCAGGATGGTAAGTGGTTTGGAGGCAAATGTGCAGGTTGGAGGTCCTCCTTGTATCTGCTGACCTTGTCCTTCTAGATGGAAATGGTGGGGAGTTTGGAAGGTGCTGTTTAAGGATATTTGGTGAATTTCTGAAGTGCATCTTGCAGGTAATAGACAATGCTGCTCCTGGGTATCAGTGATGAATGGAGTGCATGTCTGTACAATGTATTTTCTTACCTTTTAATGAATGTAAGCAATTGAGTTGTTCTCCACACAAAAAAATCATTAAATTATGCTACAGTTGTTTAAGGCCGTGATTAGCCAGCATGTGAAGTATTCTGTTCAGTTCTCAACACTGCATCCTAGGAATTAAATATTGGGACTAAAAAAAAAACTTGAATTATATTGAAAATAAAGCAAAGCAGTCTCTTTATGGAATTATGATGGGGATGAAAGTGTTCATTGGCGTGGATTAATAACATAAACTAAGCTTGTGTTCCTTTTGAGAATGGAAGATTAAGCAGTGATTTAACTAAGATGGTGACGATTGATAGGGTAGATAGAGGGAAACTCAGAACAAGAGTTCATAACTTAGTGAGAGCAAGCCTGGTAATGATATCAGGAAGCATGTTCTCACACAGGGCATTGAAAACCTTGGACGGTCTCCTCCAAAATGATTTTGAGTGCACGTAAATTGAAAAATTCAAAACAGAGGTTGATTGATTGAGTTAGGATGTTCAACCAAGGTGAGTAAGTAGACTAAGGTACAAATCATCCAGGATCTATGTTTTGCATTTTTTTACTTTTGTTCCCATGTCAATATCTGGAAATATAGCTAGTTTGTATTTCATATTTACAAGGCATCGCTCCAATATGAAAATGGACCCGATTCAAGTCACCATGTCAAACCTCACTCACAGATCTGCAGACAGTGAAGGAAGTTATCCAAAAACTTGGATTTTTTTCCTCATTATTGCAAATTTGTACTAGGAAAGGTAAAGAAGTATTATGCATAAAGTAAATTTCCCCTTAAGAATTCTTCACTTTTACTGATTTGACCTTGAAATTTTCTTTCAGCTGTTCTGTCATGGACTCCCTGAATGACTTTGCCTGTTCTGACCCTTCTTTCTTTTTCTGGCTGTACACTGCTTTTGACTGCTAAAACTGTCCTCTAGTGCTTATTCACCAACACAGCTCCATCTTTATTTTTGCCAGCAGTTAGCTTGTGCAGTCTCCTACACAATCGGTGTAGTTCCGTGACTTTCTCTACAGCAGAGCTAAAAATCACTACTTGCGACATTGAGGGTAAAGCTCTACCTGTCTTGCAACACTCATATTCACTGACGTTTGGTTCTGTTTCTCCTTTCTGAACTCCTATTTGGCAACTCTCGAACGGCCCTGAGTAACATGGTGAAAACCTTACCATAACCCCTTCTATTGCTGGTGTAGAATTGAATGTTGACACCTACCAACTCTTGGAACTGAGTGTGCTCTGAATATTCGGTTTCACAGAGAATACTAGCTTGCTCAGCACAAAAGAGATGGCTATAACTAGAGGATTTAATCACATACTGTACAGACAGGAACTTGGACTTGATACTGTCAAGCTGGATGTTGTGCAATCACAGATTATATGAACTGAACTAATTATTATGGATTTTGAGAGTTTATTTTGTATATCCTAAATTGATGAATGTGATCATTACTTCAGTACAGTGCCAATTATTAATCTGTCTCAATTTACTTGTTATCTCCAGTCTGCTCATTTTACTGGAAGCTGGTATATATTTATTTGATTCAGTTAACTCTGAAATGCATTAAAATTAATTTATTCTGCACAATATTATTACATTTATATATGCTTGTGCAATATATTATACATACAATTGGAGTTGGTTGCATGCTGTTCACTCTAGTTATGTTTATTTTACAGATGAGTGGAAATGATTTGCCCAGAGTTCATGCTGTTCTTGGTGACAACAAATGTGACCTGGATTCTGCTGTTTCAACTTTAGCCTATGCTTACTTCCTTTATAAGGTACAAGCACAGTGCAAAGTACACTTCTACAACTGAAAATAAAGTATGTATGTATACAAATAGACAGGAGTGATTAATTATAATGTAAAGCTAACTGGTCATCTCCTGCACTGTAACACATAAATGAGCTAGATTTTCCAATGATGGGAGTATTTCTAGCAGCTAGATTTTGGCTGAGGGTTGAGGGTGGTGTGTAGAGTTCATACATTGAATGCAAATCATAAAATGACAAACTATTTGAAGTTACTGGAGCTTTGCAATCATTTCAATTGGCAGTACAGGTGGAAGAGAATCCTTAAAGGAGGAATGCAATTTTTTTCCGGCGTGTTTGTTCGGAATTTGACATCTAGATGGTGCTGTCCCATCTTCAGGGGAGGCTTCAAAGCCAGTTAAATTCTTCTGAAGCCTAGTTACTGTTGTAATGTCTAACAATTCACAAGAGTCCATTGTACTTTTTGCAAAGGATGACCAAGAGCGGTGAGCTAAATAGATATAGTATGGTAGCTCAGTTGGCTGGATTGGTGGTTTGCAATGTATCACACCACCAACAGCAAAGGGTTCAGTTCCCATACTTGGTGAGGTCACTATAAGATCCTGCCTTCTCAAGGTGTGGTGACCCTCAAGTTAAATTCACCAGCAGCTTCTCTGCCTGAGAGATGACCTATGGTGGCCTTCATTGTAAAGAGGGTGTAGCGCCAGGGTAATACCACTGGACTGGTAATCCAGAATCTCAGGCCAATATTCCAGGCAGAGAGTGAAACTTGAATTCAACAAGAAAAAATACCTGGAATAAGAGCTAGCCTGATGGTAACCATTGTTGATTGTTGAAAACAAAATCCAATTCATAAATGTACTTTTGGGGAAGGAAAACTGTCACCCTTACCTGGCAGACATGTGGTTGGCTCTGTCCTTTGTAATTAAGGATTGACAATAAATGCTGGCCTAGACAGTGATGACCATATCTCATGAAAAATTTGTAGATGTCTATTTGCACAGATATTTTCAAAGAGGAACACTTATTGACAATCCTGAATAACACCCGTTACAATAGACACTAGCTGCACCTTAAAACCATAGAGACTCTCAAATTATGGGCAGCTGAAGTGCACAAAATTAATTTACAGCCTGAACAAGATGGCATTGGAATAGGGCTCCTGAGCTGGAGCTTGTCTGCTCTGATAGCTTTTCTTGTCTGTTTTCTTTTATTTTCTCTCTCTTTTATTTTTCTTTCTATACCTTTACTCACCAGTTGTCCTGAGCTTGGACGGCAGCAACGATGGCATGAATCCAGTGTGGACTTTGAGCGAGCCCGTACTTACTTTTCCAGGACTAGCACAAGACCTGGCATCAAATTGTTGGCAGCTATGTTAGCGGAGGTGACCTTGGTGAGGTAGGCCCAGTGGCAAGAGATGGTGCCTGAGGATCGGTGACTTCATTGTTGGTTAGGTCTAGCGCTGGTGGTGACAGAGGGCCAGCAGAAGGGCATCACAGAGACATCAACAAGGTGGGCCCAGTGATGATAAACATGACTCTGATGTTGGTTGGTCTGGTACAGATGGTGGTGGTGGAGTATCGATCCAGTGGCAGAAGGTGGTGCCTGAGGATTAGCGACTTCATTGATTGGGCCCGGTTTAGAAGGCAAAGTGGTGGAGGGGAATGCTGGCACAGGCATTGTTGATGGTGATGAGTTGGCTTAGAACTGATGGACATTCTTTAAGCTATATCTTTATTTTTTTCCCCTTATTCTTAAATTATTCAAAATGCTGCCGAAATTTTGCGACAAATAAAAGCTTTTCACTGTATTGTATTCTCCCTGTCAAATACATGTGACAATAATTCCTTCCATCCTTCCACCTTCCACCCACCCTTCCACATTCATAACTGAGATGGCAGAGGGTGAAAAAAAATCTTGATTTTTGTGGAGTAGAGTTCTCTTCGCTCAGCATTCAGAGAGAAAACTGTTCTATATCTGGCCTTGAACGTTTGTGTGGTTCTATTTTGAGAGTAGGGGTAAAAGTTCCCAATTTGACCAAGGCTTCAAGCTGCATTAGAAGGACCAATATGCTGTCAAAATGGGGTCAGTATTCCTGAGTGCTGTCTGTGGATATTTACAGGGTGAACGTCATGTTTAAATTATCCATGTCCACACCGTTCTGTGACATCACCTGATTACTGGCACAAAGTGCTTCCTAAATGTTGAGTTAAATCAGGAGGGGGCTGGACAGTCAAAAATTGCGGTTGTTGCTCTTCACTTTGGCATTTGGACGCAGTCCTTGGCAATGAGGAGAGCTCCTAGCATCTCATTGGAATCCTTCACGTTTGGTAGGAGAGTCTCCTGAAATGGCAGGAGAGGAATGATGAGGCTTTTGTGGAATGGAAGCTTAGATTGTCAGTTAGGGAATAGTAGCTGGAGGGAGATGAAGAAAGAGAAAAGTACTGGGGTAAGTGGTATGTGGAATTGGGTCTGAAGTGAGTGGAATGAAGCAGATGCCATCATTCTCTCCAGAGTCAGGAGCAGCAGAAAGAGCAACAATATGGAATGAAAGCAGCAAAGAGAGGGAAATAGCCGATGAAGTAGAAGAATTAATGAGTAAAGGTCTTAAACACAATGGTATTAGATTGTGGAATCCTTTACCAGCTCATGACCATGGAGGTAGCGACTAATATTTAACATGAAAGAATCTGGAGTTATTGGAGAGAGTGGATTTTAAGGCCTGTCCTGTGCGGAGCTCTCTTTGTTTCCGCTCTTCAGTTAATGGGTGGTCTCCTGGTTCTTGGAACCTCTCGTAAAACAGTTGAAGTTGCGCATGCAGCAGCTCTCGGAGTCGTGGCAAACTTCTGATGAAGGGTCTAGGCCCGAAACGTCAGCCTTTCTGCTCTATGATGCTGCTTGACCTGCTGTGTTCATCCAGCTCTGCACCTTGTTGTCTCGGATTCTCCAGCATCTGCAGTTCCTACTGTCTCTGATTCAATGTTACTTGCAGTATATGTATGCTAGGACCATGGGGGAAACTCATTTAGGGGCCTTCAAAGAACATTAAGGAATCTGAGAGACCAAACAGGGCCCTGACTTCTGATCTAAAATTTGGTCTTTCAGGTATTAAAATGTTTTTTCACTATTACACTGAAGTGTCATTTCTCAAGTGTAGACTATTATATGACTAAACATATCGGATGTAATCTGGGGTCTGTGGGCCATAGACTGTGGTTAGATTGTTGAGGGAGACTGTTGCTTGTTCAACACTTTGTTGACAGCCCAACTTGTCTCATTCTTATCCAGTTTCTTCTTAGCAAACTCCCCAAACACGCTAGCTGTCAACAAAACTCGAGAGGGGAGCCAGTGCGGTACCTTGTGAATTCAACTTGCTGCAGGCACCAAATGTCCTCTGTATGCCAGCCTCTAAGAACCCTTATAGCACATCTCCAATCCACTTACAAGACTCATCTGTACTTCAGAACTGCACCTTGGGCTGGATTGACAACTATTATATATACAATACTGCAGCAAAAACACTGCTCAGAACGTTGCACGCAGCTCATGGACTTGACCAGACTATATCTCCAGGCGATATGCTCACTCTGATAGCACTCACTCACTCTGACCCTATCTGGATGTTCACAATGTGTCTGCCTTGCTTTGCCTTTTTGTGCTTTTCCCCCTCAAATGGAGATGGCGGGTTCATATTTATAGTCATAGAGACGTACAGTACGGAAACAGACCCTTCAGTTCAACTCGTTCCCCAGACCAGATATTGTGAATAAATCTAGTCTTATTTTCCAGCATCTGGCCCATAATCCCCCTCAACCCTTTCAATTCATATCCCCATGCCCTTTAAATGTTGTAATTGTACCAGCCTCCTCCACTTCCTCTGGCAGCTTGTTCCATACATGCACCACCCTCTGCATGAAAAAGTTGGCCTTTAGGTCTCTCTCAAATCCTTCCCCTCTCTCCTTCAGCCTAATTTTGGTCTCCCCCATTCGGGGGAAAAGGTTCTGTCTATTTATCCTATTCGTGCCCCTTGTGATTTTATAAACCTCTATCAGGTCACTCCTCAACCTCTGTTCCAGTCTATTCAGCCTCTCCCTATAGCTCAAACCCTCAAACCCTAGAAACTTCTTTGTAAATCTTTTCTGAACCGTTTCTAATTTCACAAGATCCTTCCTATAACAGGGAAACTGGAAATGCATACTATATTATAAAAGTGGCCTAACCAATGTCCTGTACAGCTGCAACATGATCTCCTAACTCCTATACTGAATGCACTGGTCAATAAAGACAAGCGTACCAAAAGCTGGCTTCACTATCCTTCTGTCTTGATGTCCCATTCAGTACTGACACGAAGGCAGGAAGCTTGTCATGGTTTTCAGCAGATTTCGGGGATCGCGTTTGCTCAGGAGGTCCTGCCAGGGTATGTCAAGGGGATCCTCTGATACCAGTCTAGGTGCTTGAAAATGGTCACTCAGTCACTTAGGGCAGCCAGAGTCAGGATGTTGCCCACAAAAGGGGTAAATAACTGAATATTGGGCACCCCACCACCCATCTTGTTTTTCTGCTCTACTTGGTATTGTTTTTCCTCCTGAAATGAGATGGAGGCAGATATAAAAGGAGATAAAAGCAAGTGAAGGAAGATGTTGCAGGCATTAGTGAGAGTGGTAGAGCATGAGCCTTGGTTGGAGATGGTACAGTAGGTGAGGTAGCAGAAGATGTTGATACTTCCATTGGCAGAGTGCAGAGATCATTGACCTCCTTTGTACAATCCTGTGCATTCCTCAAGGTGGCTGAGCTGCTTTAACCCACATGGTAACCTTAGACTGATGTTGTGGCTTTCACTGCTGGGCCTGAGGGAAGAAGAAGCCCCACATCTACAAAAACCTCATTGATCAGGAGTTCCCCTGCCCACAAGTGAGGTGTGGATCTCCCTGTCTGCCACCAGGAACCATGGAAGGTAGCTCTGGACTGATGGTCCTTGTCTGGGAGTGCAACAGTCCTTTAAAGATGT